AAGAAGAAGAAATTATGCCACTCTTCTTTACCCTCTCCCTTCCTCATTTATCGGGATTTTCTTGATCTGTCACCACTATCTGGGCCAGATATCTGAATAGCTTCACATTCTTCTTGTCCTATTTTCCACAACTTTATTGTTATGCTCAAATGAGTCTAAAAACCACTGCAATAATGAAAACTTTATGGCATTTTTCCATCCCAATCATCTACATCAATGCAACTTAGTCTCATCTGGAACCTATGAGTCTATAAGCAATCCTTCTCCCCATGCCCTCTATCTACTAATAAATCTTCTCAACAGCAATTTGTTATTTGAATACCTACCAAAGAAACTTCTAGCTCAGAAAAATGAAGTAACTTGCCCAAGATCTCACAACAATAAAACTCCTAGAGAAGTATTTTTAAATATTTTGTACCAATCACCCTGCATTATTTGTGTTAGCATTAGGAATATCTGATAAGGGAAATATGGCCTTAGTTTCTAGATGACTGTATTCCTCTCTGTTTTGCTTCGTGATGGGTACACTTGAAAGGAGAGGGTGGGAGGGGGAAGGGGGGGAGGGAAGGTTGAAAAAAATAATAATAATTAGTAATATAAATCTGGAGTTGAACTAATTATCCTATTTTAAGAAAAGTGTCTGCCTTCCTTAAGATAATTTGCTACCTCTTTAATGTGAACATATACTTCAAAACATTTTGATCAAATAAATGTGTGTGTTCTGCTGAGAAGCCTAATGGCAACTATAAACATATTGTGAAAGAATATTATTTTTATTTTATTTTTTATAGATGCAAGGTCTCACTCTGTTGCCCAGGATGGTCTTGAACTCCTGGGCTCAAGCAATCCTGCCTTGGCCTCCCAAAGTGCTGGGATTACAGGCATGAGCCACCACACCCAGCTGTGAAAGAATTTATTTAATAGAAGAATGATTATCATGACACTAATACTCTCAAGTAAAATGTACGTTTGGTTTCAAAAAATAAGTTTTAGAATTTATGAATAATTAGCATACATTTAACACATATCACTTTATAATGATTATTACAATGTAAATAGAAACAATTACTTCAATTATCACTTAAAAATTACCTCAATTGGGCCAGACATGGTGGCTCACACCTATAATCCCAGTACTTTGGGAGGCTGAGGTGGGTGGATCACCTGAGGTCAGGAGTTAAAGACCATCCTAGCCAATATGAGGAAACGCTGTCTCTACTAAAAATACAAAATTAGCCAGGCATGGTGGCGAGTGCCTGTAATCCCATCTAGTGGGGAGGCTGAGGCAAGTGATTCTCCAATCACCTGAATCTGGAAGCAGAGGGTGCAGTGACCTGAGATTGCACCAATCCACTCCAGCCTAGGCGACAGTGAGACTTGGTCTCAAAAAAGAAAAAGAAAAAAATTAGCTCAATTGCTACTAAAAAATACAAAAAGAATGATCATGTATTCATCTCTTGTTATTTTAATCAGCGATACCACTGCTCCTTATATACCCTGAGAAAAAAATCATCCTTTCATTTTTTTTCTTTTTTGAGATGGAGTTTCCTCTGTTGCCCAGGCTAGAATGCAGTGGCACAATTTAAGCTCACTGAAAGCTCCGGCTTCCAATTCAAGTGATTCTCCTGCCTCAGCCTCCCAAGTAGCTGGAATTACTGGTATGTGCCACCATGCCCAGCTAATTTTTGTATTTTTAGTAGAGACGGGGTTTCACCATGTTGGCCAGGCTGGTCTCGAACTCCTGACTTCAACTGATCCACCCACCTTGGCCTCCCAAAGTGCTGGAATTATAGGCATGAGCCACTGCACCTGACCCTTTTCATACATTTATTCAACACACAACCACTGAGAGCCTACTATGTGCCAGTAAACATCAGCAATATAGAGACAAAGTATGGTCACTGTTTTGAGCTCTCAGAGGGTTTACAAACTAAAGAAGAGCAGGGAAGCATGATATAAATGTTTTAGTTCTAAAATATCTGAAACAGCAACATTCTGTAGAAGAGTAAAGTAGTAGCTGGTTTCACTTAGAAAGACATTACAAGGTTTCCCAACATGAGAACAGCAGAACTTAGCAAAAAGGGAAGAAAAAATACTGTTTACACTTAACTGTCAATAAATTACAGCTACTCTTACAGTACACAAGTACTTTCCAAATTTTATTTCACTTAATTGTCACAACAACCCTTTGGGACCAGCATTTCACAATGAGAAACCAATGGTATACAGGATAAATAAGTAGTCCATGATGACGCATCTTGCAAATGGAAAGGCCAGAAATGAATTGAGCTCTGTGTAATTTGATATTCTTCACTACACCAGGTGGCCTAAACTGAGTTTTAAGAATAAATAAGATTTAACAGAGAAAGAGGAGAAAGAACACAACAGAGAGAGACGCTTAAAGATATGATTTATGAATTATCTTAGAAGGGAAGGAAAACTACTATCTCGGAATATATACTTATACATATAAAATATATATATGTATACACACGTACATCCTAACAAAGAAATAATGACTTATAAACTAAGCTAATTTGTGAATTGAACTATGATTAAAAATTCCATTCTCAAATTTACTTCAGAGATTGTTCCATAATTGAGACATTAAAGGAACCTATGTTATGATTTCAAAAATGTCTGATTTACAAATCCTTTATCGTCAAACATGTTCATGAATTAATATTTTTAATCAGTTGATCCCATTAACTAAAATAAATCTAAGATAACATACAAATAAACATAATAATTCATTAAAGTTCCACTTGAACACTCTGATGCAATTATACTACGTTTAAAAATCATGTTTTCTTTATTACAATTTTCTTCTTAAGCACAAGAATGGTATAGTTCTAAAGGTTAAACATGGAATTTGTCATATGAAATAAATCTAAAAAATCAAATTCAGCTTTTAACATTATTTGAGAGGAAAATAAATTGTACCTCTGCATTGTGTTTTGTTGTTATTTCTAATTTTTCTTTTTTAGCCCGATGGAGTTTCTTTCTGAGATCAGCAATAATATCCAGCTCTGTTTCATTTTTAAGTATTTGTTTTACATCTGATGAGGCATTCTTCAACCTATAAAATGAGATTATAGTAAAACGTATGTGCTTCTCATAAAGCATATTTCAGAGAATTTCTGATATTTCTGATAACTTATTTTTCAAAAAACAGAGAGAACATGACATGGTTCTTGACTTAGAGAATTTCACAACCTAGTAAAAGATGCCCCCTGCAAAAGCTATGTAGAAATACAAAGTAATATATATATAGATATATACCTAGCAACAAACCACTGCCTAATGGGAACTTACCACATTATTCAAGATTGGTACTTCTGATCATATCACAAGCTGGATAATTTTGGAAGAGACTGGGTTCTCCCATTCTTTTTCTTTTTAAATAATTCATTTTACTTACTGCAAATGTAATACGTAACGCCAAAAGAAAAAAGTCAGAGTAAAGCATACCACTCTCTCCCAAAAATAAAAATAAACAGCAAACAGAATTCAGAGGTATAAACTCACAAGAGAAAGAACACAAAAGATGAGATAATAGCAATAAAATATTGGAAGCAGAAATGCATGTGGACATTTGGTGACTGATAACTCCCAAAAGCTCAGTAATTGTCAACATCTTTGAAAATGGGGGTAAACGCAGAGCAGAAAACAGGAGAATTAGCTGAAAGGTTGCCAACAAAATAATTAGATCTTCAGATCCCCTATCCCGTATACCACACAACTGGTACCTATCTCTTCCCCAGTCCAGCAGAAAAACACTAGGGGTTTATTCCCTAGATAGGATGAAACAGAGGGTCTCTGGATCAGTAAATATTAGATATAAATGATATAAGTTTTTCATACCACATACAAGCAGCTTGAGTTAAAAGTTATATAATGAATGAAAGCTCCAGAGTTTTAACACTACTTATCTTGCCAGAACAATGGCAGCCAAGCAGTGCCTGGAAGTGCCTTCCCTACAGAACCCAAGCAGCAGGTGAAAAATACCTAAAGATACTAATGCCAGTGGTTCTGTAGCAAAACAGTTTAACCATATAATCCTACAGAGCATGCCACAAAAACACAGCCTCACACACTGTTTCTCCAGTCATCTGTTTAGGTTAAGCCTTTTTTTTTCAATATAAGCAGACAGCCAAGGGTCACCAAAAGATTAGGAAGCATCTAATATGATAAACAGAGACCAAAAATAAGGTGTATGGAAAGAACCATTCCCTGAAAGACTATGCAGAAAGATGACAACTTAAAAGAGGGAGAAAAAAAGAAACTAATATTGTCTTCTAAAAAAAACAGGAGAGAGTATAACATCCATAATATCACATTCATGACTGCAATGAGAAATAAAATATTCAGAAAAAAAAAAAAAAACAGCTCTTAAAAATCAAAAACGCAGGCCAGGCACGGTGGCTCATGCCTATAATCCCAGCACTTTGCGAGGCTGAGGTAGGTGGATCACTTGAGGTCAGGAGTTCAGGATCAGCCTGGCCAACATGATGAAACCCCATCTCTACTAAAAAATATAAAAATTAGCCGGGCATGGTGGTGGATGCCTGTAATCCCAGCTACTCAGGAGGCTAAGACAGGAGAATTGCTTGAACCCGGGAGACAGAGGTTGGAGTAAGTTGAGATCGCACCATTGCACTCAAGCCTGGGCAACAAGAGCAAAACTTCGTCTCAAAAAAAGTAAAAATAAAAATTAAAAATGAAATAAATAAATATAAAAGAAAAAATCTCCCAGAAAATAAAGGAAAAAGAGACGGAGATGAAAAACAGAAAAAATTTTAAATTAAAAGACCATCCAAGAAGTTCAAAATCTAAATAATGGAGCAGAATGAGAAAATATAAATTTAAAACATTAAATAGTCTTATTATTTTGTAAGCATTGTTCTAAGCATTTTACATAATATAAAATTATTTATTCTTCAGAATAATCCCGTGAGATTGGTACCATTATGACCCCTATTACCCATGTTCATAGGGCTAATGAGGGGCAAAGCTGAAATTCAAACCCTGAAAGCCTGGCTCCGTGATATGTCCTCTTAACCACTGCACTATAATGTCTCTCTGAAGGGGAGGAAACTGTTAAAGAAAAAAATCCATGGAAATAATGCAGATTCTGAAGGATATACGTTTCAAACAGAAAGGGCCTATTAAGAGTCCAGGTTAAATGCATGGAAATTTCAGAAAACAGGGAACAAAAAGTAGTTCCCCCAAAGTCCAGAGAGAAATAAATAAGTTTTATACAAAAGATTAAGAAATATGTTTAACTATAAAAATCCCTGAAAGACAACCTAGGCAATACCATCCTGGACACAGGAATGGGCAAGGATGTCATGCCAAGATACCAGAAGCAATCACAACAAAAGCAAAAATTGACAAATGAGATCCAATTAAACTTAAGAGCTTCTTCATGGCAAAAGAAACTATCAACAGTGTAAACAGACAACCTAAAGAATGGGAAAGAAATATTTGCAAACTACACATGCGACAAAAGTCTAATATACTGCATCTAAAAGCAACTTAAACAAAATTACAAGAAAAAAAACCATTATAAAGTGAGCAAAGGACATAAAAAGACACTTTCCAAAAGAAGATATACATGCAGCCAACATGCATATGAAGCAAAGCTCAGTATCAGTGATCATTAGAGAAATGCAAATCAAAGCCACAATGAGATACCAACTCACACCAGTCAGAATGGTTACTATTAAAAAGTCAAAAAAATAATAGATGGAGGCAAGGTTGCAGGAGAAAAGGGAACTCCTATACACTGTTGATAGGAATATAAATGAGTTCACCCATTCTGGAAATCAACATAGTGATTTCTCAAAGAGCTTAAAACAGAACTACTAATCAACCCAGCAACCCCATTACTAGGTATACCCCCAGAGGGAATATAAATCATTCTACCCTAAAAATATATGTATACGAATGTCTACTGCAGCACTATCCACAATAGCAAAGATATGGAATCAACCTAACTGCCCATCAATGACAGACTGGATAAAGAAAATGTAGTACATAAATAGCATAGAATACCATGCAGCCATAAAAAAGAATGAGATCATGTCTTTTGTGGGAACATGGATGGAGCTAGAGGACATTATCCTTAGCAAACTAACCCAGGAACAGAAAAACAAATACCATGTGTTCTCACTTATAAATAGAAACTAAATGACAACTCATGGACACAAAGAAAAAAATAACAGACACTGGGGACTACTTCAGGGTAAAGGGTTGGGGCAGGGAGAGAAGCAGAAAAATAACTATTGTGTACTGGGCTTAGTATCTGGGTGATGAAATAATCTGTACAACAAATCCCCATAGCACGAATTTGCCTATGTAACAAACCTGCACATGTACTCCTAAACCTAAAATACAAGTTTTTAAAACATGTGACATCATTTTTCCACAGAAACACTGAAAATTAGGAAATAATGCTGCAATACTTGACAAAATTCCAAGGGAAAAATCATTTCTAACTTAAAATTTTATACCCAACAAATTATCATCCAAAGGAAAGACTATGACAAAGACAATTTCAGATCTGCTAGGCCTCAAAATATTTATCTCCCATGAACTTTCTCAGAAGGCTAATGGGATATTTACTCTATCAAAATAAGGACCAAAATGAGAAAAAGAAAGACATGGGATTCTAGAAGCAGAGTACTCAACACAAGAAAACAACAGAGGGATTTCCGGGATAGTGATGAGAGTATGAAATACTAAGATGACACCTGTACAGCAAAGCACTTAAAGGGAAATCTGTCCCAGTGGGACTGGTCAAAGCCCCCAGTAGTGATTTCTTTAAGAAGATGAAAATACACCAAGTGCAGTGGATCACATCTGTAACTCCAACACTTTGGGAGGCCAAAGCAGGAGGATCACTTGAGCCCAGGAGGTCAAGACTGCAGTGAGCCATGATTGTGCCACTGCACTACAGTTGGGGGACAGAATGAAACCCTGTCTTAAAAAGAAGAGGAAGGAGGAGGAGGAGGAGGAGGAAGAGGAGGAGGAGGAGGAAAAGGAGGAGGAGGAGGAAGAAGAGGAGGAGGAGGAGGAAACAAAAAACATAAGAGAGGTTTATGTAATTTGTTTGGAGCAAAGTTAAATTCCTGATAAGTTCATAGAAACTAAGCAAACAAACCAAATAAGAAACCAGATAATTATTAAATCCAAGTAAAATAAAATGTACAAGAAAGAAAAAAAGTCACTGAATACTCACTGACTACTACTACATAGGCTCAACTTAAAAGGTTTCATAATTATAATAATATAAACATTGAATAATCTAAGATTACAATATCACTAAATGTAGAGAACAGGAAGGGAAACAGGCAGGAATGAAAACTAAATTATGATCTGTGCAAGAAGTCAGTAGATAACAGATAAAACTAAAAAAAACAATCAGCAACACGGAAAAAAAATTTGAGAGATGAAAAATACCTCAGAGAGTTGAAAAAAATGATTGTTTTTTAGAATCTAGAAAGTGGATTTGCCTCAAAGAAATTAGTAATGCTGTTTTCTGTAATGTCACCTAATAAACTTTACAGCACAATGGATTATTTAAATAATGTGCACATACAATGGATTATTTAAATAATGTGCACATACAACTTAAATTTTTTAAATAACGCTAAAATAAAACTGAGAGAATCAGTGAAACCAAATTTTGGTTCTTTGAAAAGAGCAATAAAGTTAATAAACGTTTGGCTAAATTAAAAAGAAAAAAAGAAAAAAACTCAAATTATGAAAATAAAGAATGAAGGAGGAAACATTACTATTTAGAACGATTATAAAAGAATATTCTGAACAACTTTATACCAACAAATTAAACAATTCAGATCAAATGGATGAATTTCTAAAAAAACACAAATTACTGAAACTAAATTAAAAATCTGGATAGATCTATAACAGATAAAGATATGGTATTATCTAACCACACAGAAAGCTCAAGCACAGATAGCTTCACTGGCAAATTCTACCAAACATGTAAAGAAAAAATAATACCAATCTTTACATAACGGTAGGGAACACTTACCAATTCATTCTATGAATTTGGCATTACTCTAATACCAAAACTAGACTAAGTTATCACAAGAAAGGAAAACAGATTAATATCATTCATGAATACAAACAGAAAAATCCTCAAAAAACATTAGCAAACCAAGTAACTGGGACTACCTGTAGTCCCAGCTACTTGGGAGGCTGAGGTGGGGGGCGCACTTGAGCACAGGAGTTCGAGGCTGCAGTGAGCTATGATCACCACTGAACAATGGCCTAGGAGACACAGTAAAACTTCATCTCTTAAAAAAAAAATGGGCAAACCAAATGCAGCAACATCTTAAAAAGATTATACAATGTGACTAAGCAGGATATATCCCAAAAACATAAAATTGGTATGACATCTCAAAATTAATTGATGCAATATACAATTTTAATGAAATAAAAAGGCTAGGTATGATAGCTCATGTCTTTCTTTCCCAGCACTTCGGAGGCCAAAGCAGGAGGATCGCTTGAGGCCAGGAGTTCAAGACCAGCCTGAGAAACATAGCAAGATCTTGTGTCTACAAAAAAAATTAAAAAATAAAAAATAAAAAAATTGGCCGGGCATGGTAGTACATGCCTGTAGTCTAACTACTCAGGAGGCTGAAGCAGGAGGATCACTTGAGCTCAGGAGTTCAAAGCTGCAGTGAGCTAAAATCATGCCACTGCACTCTAGCCTGAGAAACAGAGCAAGGCTCTTTCTCAGAAAAAAAAAAAAAAGTGAAAGATTTTTACATCGAAAAATACAAAATGCTGTCGAAAGAAGTTGAAAAGCTAAACAAATGGAAAGACATCCCATAGTCACATGCATGTAAGGAAAACTCAATATTATTAAAATGGCAATTCTCCCCAAATTAATCTACATATTCAATATAATCCCTATTAAAACCCCAACACACATTTTTGCAGAAACTGAAAAGCTGATCCTAAAATTCAAATGGAAAGACAAAGAATTCAAAATAGCCAAAACAATCTCGAAGAAGAACAAATGAGAAAACTTTTGCTTCCTAATTTCAAAGCTTATTATAAAGCTATGGTAATCAAGACAATGTGGTATTGGATTAAGAACAAACATGTAGATCAATATACCAGCATTAAGACTCTAGAAATAAACCCAGTCTCACTCTGTCGCTCAGGCAGGAGTGCAGTGATGTGATCTGGAGTGCAATGGTGTGATCTCGGCTCATTGCAACCTCCGCCTCCTGGGTTCAAGCGATTCTCCTGCCTCAGCCTGCTGAGTAGCTGAGATTACAGGTGCACACCACGACACCTGGCTAATTTTTGTATTTTTAGTAGAGATGGGGTTTCACCATGTTGGTCAAGCTGGTCTCAAACTCCTGACCTTGTGATATGCCCACTTCAGCCTCCCAGAGTGCTGGGATTACAGGTGTGAGCCACCACACCTGGCCATGGTTAAGTAATTTTCAACAGAAGTACCAAAGAGGAAAGGTTAGTCTTGTCAACAATCCTGCTGGAACAACTGGCTATCCACATGCAAAAAGACAAATTTAGACCCTTACCTCAAGAAATACACAAAAAGTCACTTAAAATAGAGCACTAAATATAAGAGCTAAAATTATAAAACTTCTAGAAGAAAACATAGAAGAAAAATCTTCATGACCTTAAGTTATTCAGAGATTTCTTATATACAAAACCAAAAGCACAACTCATATAGGAAAAGAATTGATAAACTGGACTTCGTCAAAGTTAAAAACTTGTGCATTTCCAAAGACATTATTAAGAAAATGAAAAGTCAAGCCACTAAACAGGAAAAAATATTCATATATCTTATTTTTTGTTGTTTTTGGGAGAAAATCTCCCTCTGTCACCCTGGTTCGAATGCAGTGGCACTATCTTGGCTCACTGCAGCCTCTGCCTCCCAGGTTCAAACAATTCTCATGCCTCAGCCTCCAGCGTAGCTGGGACCACACACACATGCCACCAAGCCTGGCTAACTTTTGTATTCTTTTGCAGAGATAGGGTTTTGCCATGTTGGCCAGGCTAGTCTTGAACTCCTGGGCTCAAGCGATTCATCCCACTCAGCCAAGCAAAGTGCTGGGATTACAGGCATGAGTTATTGCACCAGGCCACCAAATCATATATGTGATAAAGGACTTGCATTCTGAATATATAAAAAACTCTTAAAGCTCAATAACATGAAAATAAATAAAACAATTTAAAAATAAACAAAAGATCTGAATAAACATTTCACCAAGGAAGATATATGAATGACCAAAAAGCACATACAAAGATGTTCAACATCATTAATCATTAGGAAAATTCAAATTATAACCACAATAACATACAACTTCATACTCACCAAAATGGCTAAATTGAAAAAGTCAGATAAAAACCAGTGTTGGTCAGGATGTAGGGAAACTAAAATTCTCATATATTGCTATGATAATATAAAATGACCCAATCACTTTAGAACACAATTTGGCAGTTTCTTGAAAATTTTAACATAAATTTACTATATGATGCAGCAAAGCTGCTCCTAAGGATCTAACTAAGGGAAACAAAAACATATGTCAACAAAAAGACATATGCAAATATGCATAGTAGCATATTTGGGTACTCATGGTACCCAAAAAGTACAAATAACTCAAATGTCTGTCAACTGGTAAATGGGCATAATTGGCAACATAACAAGACCCCACCTCAGAAAAGTTAAAAAATTATGATGCATTGATGCATTGATGTGGTAAGACATTTCTTCAAATTTGAAAAAGGAGGATACTAAACAAGGTGAAATGTTCTAACTTTTAAATATGTATTTATTTAATATTGATATTTTTAAAGTCTAGACAAATATTTACCAAAATGTTATTAGTAGTTAACTCTAAGTGCTAAGATTACAAATAGCTTCATTGTTTTGTCATTTGCATTTTCTAAATTTTCTAAAAACACATGTATTATTTGCATTAAAATATATACATGCATATATACATATATATGAAATCTATATAAAATAAAATAGAGCAAGAAGGTCTGATGATCCTCTATTCAGCAGCTTCTGGACCATATTCCTCAGGTGGAGGCAGAGAACAAAATAATGAAGCCTCACTCACCCCTTACAACATTTGAAAAAAGAAAAGTCCTCTTTAAGATGAAATTTTAGCAAGGAAAAAAATTTATATTTTATTCATCCCCTATCTTGCTCCAGAAGGGATTTGAGGTGGCTCCTGGCCGGGCGTGGTAGCTCATACCTGTACTCCTAGCACTCTGGGAGGCCAAGGCAAGTGGATCACTTGAGGTCAGGAGTTCAAGACCAGCCTGGCCAACATGATGAAACCCTGACTCTACTAAAAATAAAAAAATTAGCTGGGTGTGGTGGCAGGCGCCTGTAATCCCAGCTACCCAGGAAGATAAAGCAGGAGAATCACTTGAACCCAGGAGATGGAGGTTGCAGTGAACCAAAATCATGCTACTACACTCCAACCTGGGCAACAGAGCAAGACTCTGTCTCAAAAAAAGGGGTGGGGGAGTTATCTTCAAAAGCTAAGTGGAAAACCTCTGTATAGCAAATTTATGGGTAAAGTACATGTTAGTCATGGTACTTGTCCCACCATGAAAGAAAATCAAAAGCTATAATGTTTTAGATATTTCCTTCTCAAACTAAACATGAGGAAGGGCTATCTTCACCCCACCCCCGTGATGATTTTGTAAAATTAATGCATTATTTTTAAAGAAATTTTAAAAACAGAATACAACCCCAAATGTTTTATTTTTAGATTCAGCAGACAGAATATTATTCTGTTACATGACTATAAAAGTTTCTAAACATTTACTTTTAATTTCAGTACTTATTTCTTTGTAAAGCACACTTAGGAGAGAGTGGCACTGCCCTAAGTGGTCCAGTTTCATATTTAGACTCCACCCACCAAAGGTGAATGAACTAAAGGTAGGCGCCACACCCAAAGGCAGAAATCGATGGTACAAAAAAGATGAGTAACAGCAATTAGGTGTTGCTTCTTGGACGGTAAACTGAGTAACGAAGCAAAACAGCAACAGAAGCTAGGAATAAATAAATGCTTATACAGTAACCCCGAATTAAGCTGGGGCAATGAAGAAAGGAATTAAAGCCACAGAGGTTAAGGAAAACAAAACAGAAATATAAATAAAAAATATGAGGGAAAGATTTAGCGTAGTGGAAAAGAACAAGTAAGTCTCTAGTAACAGAAAGAAATTCAGACACGTGGACTTTTGTGGTCCAAATTAACAGAGAAGCACAAAAACCCCATAAAGTCTCCAGATTCAGTTCCAATTCCTGTGAGGCTTCATTCATGCTCCTTCAGTCCCACAAAATTTCTACTCCCCTTAACATACCCATTGGAATTCTTACAATTAGCTCTACCAACAACTGACTTCTCCCTGTTCCTTGCAACTGAAAGTGTTCTTCAACTACAAGAAGAGACTAGAGGTTTACCTTTGGGTGTCACCAGTGCCATTACTTGAAGCATTCAAATTCATGATGTTTTCCAACTCTTTCAAAATGTCCCAGTGTTTCTTAATGACATATTTCTTTCTTGATGATTAAAATTGCCTAAGATGTCTGTGGCTTACAGGTTAGATGATCTGAGGTCTGTTAAAATAGTAAATGATACAACAGCAGTTTGAGTCCTGATATTATTGGAGAGTTTTCTTGTTCTTTGACTTAATTGTATAATTATTGTATAATACACATGTAATACTGTATTCCAAAAAGCTATAATGTTTTAGCTATTTCTTTCAAAAAGGATTGGAAGCCAGAATCATGGTATGTACCTGTAGTCCCAGCTATTCAGTAGGTTGAGGCAAGAGGATTGCTTGAGCCCAAGGTTCAAGGCCAACCTGGGCAACAAGGTGAGTCTGTCCCTAAAAAAATTTTTGTCTAATCATAATTTTAAAATAAAATAAAGTATTGGAAACAAAAATGACAAAAATGTTAAAAAGATGTTCCCTATTATAAGAACAAAGTAATGATGAAACTATTCAATTATTTTCTCAAATGAAAAATTATCAAAATAGTGAAAAATTATTCCTGAAAATGTAAAAAGAATATGTAGTACCTATCTCTAGGGCACAGAATTCAGTTTCAAAGAAAGTGAAGTCCAGGGACATTTTTGGTCCCCAAAGCCTTTTTCATAAATGAGACATCAAAGATGCCAAGGTACTCCCAACCAAAAGATCCCATGATAATTTTCAAAGGCCTTCTCCCAAGCAATCAAAGAAGAAGAAGGGAAGTACAGAGTATCTGTCACTTACTCTGATCTATTTTTTGGAACCTTCTTCTAAGGGAGATATTCCAAATTACACAGAGCCAAAGTAAGTTACTTTACCACAGTGTTAGGAGTCTCTGGGTAAACATTTTAAACAGAGAAATAACAATAATAAAGTCCAAATAGACACAAATATAAATATGCCAAAAGGGCCTCCTGGTATCCCCAGAAGTCCAGTATCCTAAGAAAAACCGTAAGTTTGGGACTCAGAAAGATCTCAATTAGGATTCTAATAAATATCTTATAAGTATGTGGCCTTTGGGCAAGTTACTTAAAACTCTTTGAGCCTGTGTCCTCAACAATATAAAGGGAATAACTATCTCAATCTCATGTTTAAAATTTAATAATATATACAGAACATATTCAGTGCCCGGCCACCACCCACTTATATTACTAAACACAGAACTATCTGAAAAAAAAGAATGATCCCTGATAAAGGAAGGGAGTGAGAGATGCTTGGGGTGATTTGGTCTAGGGGAAAGATGTAATAAATAATTGTTTAGTGAAATTGTAGGTGTATGGAGCTATCTAGACCTCAAGGAGGTCACCAAAAGAAAACAAACTCAAATAAGCAGACTGAGATGGAGACTGTACCCCAGTGCTGAGAACTGACAAACAACTCCTACATATACATCCAAAGGATCTTTACAACAGTGTTTCACGTGGCTGATTAAACAGTCTGACCTAGGACAGAGGTTGGAATTTTGGCTAAGATGACATGGGAATGGGGAGATCTCATCTCTCCAGGGACCTGAAAGACTAGGTTAGAAACAGTGGCAGACAAATGAATACCACTGTCATTCATCTACTGAGCACCTACTACAGTGTCAAGCATAGTACTTATTATTTTATATATAGAATTGTGATCCTTACAACACTGCAATGTAAGAATTATCCCATTTTCTACCAAGAAAACTAAGACTGAGATTAGAAGTAACTTGAAAAAGTCACACAGTTACAGAACCAAGATTCCAACTCATAAATCTCTGACTCTAAAGCCCAAGTTCTTTCTATGAGGTCCCTGGTGACACATTAAGCTGAACTATAAGTCATCTTACCTGAGATTTATTATTCTTACTTTATAAGAAAACTCAAGAGAGATCCAAGATGGCTGATCACTAGCAGCTTGGGATTGTAGCTCCCACTGAAAGCGCAGAGAACGAGAGGATGCTACACTTTCAGATCAATTTTTGTTGCTCACGCACCAGGAGATTCCCAGCGGAGGAGCCCCACGGGTCGCCAGCGGAACTCTTGAGGCCGGTGAGGCGGTTTTGCCACTGCCTTGGTGCGGCAGTTCTCAGTGCAGAGTCAGAAAAGCGCCATCAATCCTAAAGCCACTGTTTTGGCCGGCACAGTGGGTTGCTCAGATTTTAGTGCCGGGAATCAACAAGTTGGACGTCCATTCAGAAACCCAACTATAAAGACGGTAATTATAAAGACCACAGATGGATAAATTAATAACGAAGGGAAGAAAACAGCCTAAAAAGGCTGAGAATACCCAAAATCAGAACGCTTCTCTATCTATAGAGGATCACAGTTCCTCATCAGCAACGGAACAAGGCCTGATGGAGAAAGACTGTGTTCCATTAGCAGATGCAGGCTTTAAAAAGTAGATGATAAGAAACTTCTGGGAATTAAAAGAACTTGTTCTAACCCAATGCAAAGAGACTAAGAACTTTGAAAAAAGGCTTGACGAAATGTTAACAATAACACACAATTTAGAGAGGAATATAAGTGAATTAATGGAGCTGAAAAACACAACACGAGAACTT